GCCTCGGGTTACTGCGCTCAAGACACCTGCACGATCGATCGCCGCCTAGGATCTGCACAGTGACGAGGCGCACGAGCCGGTACCGATCAGCCCGAGCTCTCGTGTACCGCCTTCCCGGTGCGTCCACGTGGCGGCTCGCAAATGCCCCGAAGCTCGTGAACGGAATGTGCTGCTTCGAGCCGACGGGCGAAGTCGACCTCATCGAGATCCAGATCCCCACGACGGACAAGATGGTGAGCGCTTTTTCATTCGGCGTTTCGACATTGGGCGGGAAGGGGGGGGGGAGGGGGGGGTCTGGCTCCAGACCTCTGCTTCGTGCGACTGTCTGCAAGAGTGCATCCTGCGAGGCGGGTCTCCACCTGCTCGAAACAGGCGCCAAAAAACAGCCAAGATCAACATGGACGTGAACCTGTTCAGGTGCCAGCTGCACATGGAGCCGTTCGATTACAGGTAGGACAACGACCCCAAATACTTGACCGCTGCATGCTGTCGGGCATGATCGGTGTCACAGCCAACTTGCACTGCATGCCGCACAGGCCCCACGAAATGAAGGAGGTCCACTACTACATCCGCATCCGCAACATGGTCGGCAAGCACATCGACGAGTACGAGCGGAAGGGCAACAACATCGGCGGTTTTCGCATGCCTCGAGGTTGACACTAACACCAATATCGGCGGCGCGCCTCCACCGAGTGAAGAAGATCCTGGTCTCGGTGATGGTGGTAATACTCTGGCTTCCAGGGTGGCCGAAATACTACCACCAACGTCGAAATCCAGAATCATCTTTCCCCTGTGGAGGCAGCCCCCTGCGTTGATGTTGGTGACCGTTTCCAAGCCTCCAAGGTTTCGACCTCATCCGCTTCATTGAAGGGGCCCTGGGACACGCAGATACGCTCTGGGCAAATAAAAACATTCCCCATGTTCTCCAATATTTTCTGGGGCCTCGTCTTCCACCCCACTTCCCATACTTTCCCATCCTCTCTGGGGAATCGCCGATGAATTGTGTCTGTGTGTGTGTGTGTGTTTTCCCTCCTGACTCATCCGCTTCCTGGGCACGGGCATCGACGACCACGCTCTCCTCACTGGCAGGCGCGTCGAGGGCGAGGGCGCGGGGCACAGACCACGCGACGAGGCTGCCGCTCGGAGGCGACGCCGAGGCCGAGGACCACCACAGGGGGCGACGCCATCGGAGACCACACGCCCGACGCTAAGGCCGAGGAGAACCACCACGGGGGGCGACGCCATCGGAGACCACACGCACGGCGCTAAGGCCGAGGAGAACCACCACGGGGGGCGACGCCATCGGAGACCACACGCACGGCGCTAAGGCCGAGGAGAACCACCACGGGGGCGACGCCATCGGAGACCACACGCCCGAAACTAAGGCCGAGGAGAACAACCACGGGGGCGACGCCATCGGAGACCACACGCACGGCGCCAGGGACGACGAGGAGAAGGGTCGCGGGATCTCGGCCGCCGGGTCGCACGCGCGCCAAGGTGCAGTGTAGGTCACCTCGGGGTCTACTGCAGTACCAGCCCTACCAGGGCGTATACCCAGCTCCAGCCCTACCTCATCACCATCATCATCATCATCATCACCATCACCATCACCATCACCATCATCCTCATCCTCATCCTCATCCTCATCATCATCATCATCATCATCATCATCATCATCATCATCATCATCATCATCATCATCATCATCATCATACTCATCATCATCATCATCATCATCATCATCATCATCATCATCATCAGCATCATCCGCATCCTCATCATCATCATCACCTCATCCTATCCTCATCCTCATTCATCCTCCTCCTCCTCCTCTCCTCTCTCTCATCATCATCATCCTCATCCTCAGCCTCCCATCCTCATCCTCATCCTCATCTCATCCTCATCTCATCCTCATCCTCCTCTCTCCTCCTCTCCTCCTCCTAATCATCATCATCATCATCATCATCATCATCATCATCATCATCAGCATCAGCATCAGCATCAGCATCAGCATCAGCATCATCATCATCATCATCATCATCATCATCATCATCATCATCATCATCATCATCATCATCATCATCATCATCATCATCATCGTGACGCTACCCCTGGCCAGGAGACATGTTGTGTGTCTCGGGCCAGGCAGGTCCAGCAGGACAGGTTGGCACACGGGCAGAGCTCGGCAAGAAACGAACGAGAGGGGAGGGACGAGCGGACGACACAGACACACCACGGCACCACAAATCTCAGGCAAGACACCACCAGAACTCCCTCTTGGAAGTCTCCGATTCCTCCCGAGGGACGGGCGTTGCAGCCTCTCACGCGGAGGCCGCGTGTTCGCCTGGCATCGGGCCCCGAGGCCAGCTGCAGATCGGCGCGGCTCGCAGAGCGCCGCAGAGAGATATAGCAGGGAGGAGGAGGAGGAGGAGGAGGAGGAGGAGGAGGAGGAGGAGGAGGAGGAGGAGGAGGAGGATGAGGAGGAGGAGGAGGAGGAGACACAGTAGGGGTCCGACCACAAGAAACCTTCCACAAGAAACCCAACCCTGAGACCCCAGGACGCCCGCCGATTTTTCGTGTGCCATCGAAGCCCAAGAAAGCCAGGGCACCCTGGACGTAAGCAGGGTGTCTCTTGGCATGGGTCTCCACTGTATGGCCTGAGGCTCTGGCCGTGACGTTTCACGACGCGGAACTTTTTCGTGACGTCGGACCTTGAAAAAGAAAAGAAAACACACACACAAGCCTAAAATTTTGGCGCTCCCCGGACATCCTTTCCCTGGCGCGCGGAGCGCGCCAGGGGCGGCGCCGGAGGCGCCGCCAGGGGGGCCCAGCGCAGATCCAAGAAGTCCGCGCGGAGCGCCAACAGTTTATGTCTATGGCGTTTTTTGTTCTTCGAGGATCTCAGGGAGGGAGCACAAATGATACGGTGGGGACATTGGACAAGGAGCCTTTCGATGAGGAATCCAGGGTCTGGAAGCTGGTGGATCTCCAATCGTCGACCATGGATATCGACGCCACCCTCATCGGACAAGGAATCCTCCAGGGTCTGCAGCCTACTGGGCACATTTCTTAACGAACGCCTCCACCGCACTTCGAGTTTCTCAATGAGCGCCGGGGGGGCGTCACCCCCGCCGACAGCCCCGCATCAAACATCAAACCCCGTCGCGGGAAGCCACCGCGCGCCGAAGGCGCTCCGACCCCTGTCGCAGCGCGACGACGAGGCGAGGTTGGCCCCCGTCGGGGGGGCACCCCCCACGCTTACAGTCGAGGCGTTGACCTAAGGAACCCTAAATAAGGAACGAGACCCCTTTTTTCTCATCAGTTAAAGCTCGATTTCGTATCGAACGCATAAGGAAAATCTAAGGCAAGCTGCGAAACAATTAAGGAGCACGGAGCCCCTCCCCAACGAAAAGGGTTCCTTCTTCAGGGCCCCGACTGTATGTTAAGAAGCCCAGAGCATGCAGATGCCACTGCTCATCACACGCGGGGCGGGGGTGTCTCCATCAGCACCGCCCGGGAGGTCGATCTTCGGGAACCTCGGCAGGCGGTGGGCACGTGCGGGCATCTTTGCGCTCTGGGGGGGGGGGGGGGCGAATAGCAAAGGGGCCCAGGGGCACACGAACAAGCACACCCACACACACACAGATCCCAGGATGCCCCATCTTTCAACAAATGTATGTGTTCTGGGTGTTCGTCTTCCCCACCACCTCCCATACTTCCTAACATGTTCCTGGGAGTCGACGATTGCTCGTGACTCTGCACGTTTTCCCCTCCTGAAGTGTGTCGAGGTCCACCACCTGCCGAGGGAGAACGAAGATCGACACAAAGGCGGCGGCTGCGGCAGGTCCTGGGACAGAAGAGCATCCATCAAGAACACGAGGCCCTCCGCGGGCCAGACCGAAGGACACTCGAGGGCGCCCTCCTGAAGGATGCACGAGGGCACTCAACAAGCACGGAGAACGTCAGGGCACCTTCTTCGAACCGGGGGTAGGGGGAGGGGGAGGAGGAGGAGGACTGAGGAGGAGGAGGAGGAGGAGGCGGAGGAGGAGGAGAAGGAGGAGGGGGAGGAGGATGGGGGAGGAGGAGGAGAGGCATAGGAGGAGGAGGAGAGGAGGAGGAGGAGGACGAGGCTGAGGCGTGCAGGAGGAGAGGAAGGAGGAGGAGAGGAGGAGGAGGAGAAGTAACGTTTTGGAACGTCATGGCAAGCAACGTCGTGCAGAGGGGGAGGGAGGGGGAGGGAAGGGAGCAGCAAGCACAAAGCGCACAGCCTCTAACGGCACTCCCGTGCTCTCGTGCCTGCTGATGGGCCACGGCCGCGATGCGAGCGGGGAGGAGGAGGAGGAGGAGGAGGAGGAGGAGGAGGAGGAGGAGGAGGAGGAGGAGGAGGAGGAGGAGGAGGCGGGGGAGGAGGAGGAGAGAGAGGAAGGAGGAGGAGTGGAGGAGGAGGAGGAGGAGGAGGAGGAGGAGGAGGAGGGAGGAGGAGCAGGACGAGGAGGAGGAGCAGGACGAGGCGGAGGAGGAGGAGGAGGAGTGGGGAGGATGAGACCTCGATCTTATGCCTCGGTCCGACCGTGAGGCAAATCCCCGCCTCGGGCCGAGCTCCCCTGTGGTGCGATCAGACCAGGACTTCGAAGCGGCACTGGGCGCGGCGGCGAGGGGCTCCCCTCCCAGGCGGCCCCCCAGGAGCGAACACGAGCAAACACATGCCGACCTCGACAAGTGTTGCTTGTCTCTCTCTGTCTCTCTCTCTCTCTCTGCCTCGCTCTCTCTCTCTCTCTGTCTCTCCCTCTCTTTCTATAGGTACATATAGTTATGTATACATGTATATACATAAGCCACTCTCTCTCTCTCTCGTTCCCCTCCTCTCTCTCTCTCTCCCTCTCGTCCCCCCTTATCGTCTCTCCCTTTTTGTTCCTCTCTCTCTCTCTCCCTCTCTCTCTTCTGACCTGCGCCCCCTCTCCACGGAGACGGGCGGAAGCTGACGAGCAGCATTCGGGAGGAGAAGGAGGAGCCTTCGAGCGCGCTGACTTCGCCAGAGACCGCGCGGCGCGAGCGAATGCGTTATGAGTGGCGCGCGGGCCGGGTCGTAGACGTGTGCGCGAATGCGCAAAATCTTGAAGGGAGAAGCGGGCTCGTCTGGAACTACAGCGCCGTAGGAGGAAGAGGAGGGGAGAAAGAGGCGGGGTGGAAGACGTCGAGGATGAGGAGGTTCTGGAAGCTTTCAATGGCCGATCTGGATGTTGTCGGAGGGGGAGGAGGAGAAGAAGAAGAAAGTCTCGGGGGGCTCACAACATGTTCTACTCTTTGTTTCGTTCGTCGCAGCAACTGTTTCTGGACGCTGTTTGAAGGGTTCCAGAGTCCATAGACTTTCGGAAAGGTCTGGTTTTCCCAATCCTTCTGTGTTGGGTTCTCGTTTTGAATGGAGCGCTGTGGTCCCCACCTCTCCTCCTCCCGCCTCCATGTTCCCTGCCTCCCTCCTCCTGCCGTCTGCCTGCTCCTCCTCCTCCTGCTCCTCCTCCTCCGCCTCCTCCTCACCCCCCTCCTCCTCCCCCACTCCTCCTCCTCCTCCTCCTCCTCCTCCGCCTCGTCCTCATCCTCCTCCTCCTCCTCCTCCTCCTCCTCCTCCTCCTCCTCCATCCTCCTCCTCCTCTCCTCCCCTCCTGCTCCTCCTCCTCCTCCTCCTCCGCCTCCTCCTCCTTCTCCTCCTCCTCCTCCTCCTCCTCCTCCGCCGCCTCCTCCTCCTCATCCGCTGCTCCCTGGGTGGCTGTGAACTGCGCAACTGCTGCCACTTTCGTGGGCTCCTGGGAGGTCCAGCTGCGTCGGAGGGCACGCGCACCCAGACGAGACCTCGCTGCTCCCTGGGTGGCTGTGAACTGCGCAACTATCGCCACTTTCGTTGGCTCCTGGGAGGCCCAGCGCAGTCGGGCGGCACGTGCACCCACACGAGACTTCGCTGCTCCGCTGCGAACTGCGCAACTGCCGCCACTTTCGTGGACTCCTGGGAGGTCTAGCGGAGTCGGGGGCCACGCACACCCAGAAGCGGCCTTGCTGCTCCATGGGTGGCTGTGAACTGCGGTCGCAGCTGGGAGGTCCAGCGGAGTCGGGGGGGGCACGCACACCCAGACGAGACCTCGCTGCTCTCAAGGTGGCTGTGAACTGCGCAACTGACGCCATTTTCGTTGCCTACTGGGAGGTCCAGCTGCGTCGGGGGACACGCTCACCCACACGAGACCTCGCTGCTCCCTGTGTGGCTGTGGCCTTCCCGACTGTCGCCACTTTCGTGAGTTTCGGGTAGATCCAGCGGAATCGGGGGGGCACGCACACCCAGACGAGACTTCGCTGCTCCCTGGGTGGCTGTGAACTGCGCAACTGTCGCCACGTCCGTGGGCTCCTGGGAGGCACGGCGGAGATGAGGGCAGGCCATATCGAGCACGTCTGGCGATGTGTTCCTGTGCATAGAGCGTCCATGCAAATATTCGCCTCGCGTGGAGAGGGGGTTGGGAACGCCTCGGGTGTTTACCTTTGTGGCGGGGGACGGGAGGAGGTGGATGGCCGAGGGAGGAAATATGAAAAAGAAGGAGCCCGAAGAGGAAAAGGAGGACACATAGGATAGCATTGCAGATGTTACCACCAATCTTCCCAGGTGTTCTTGAACGCTCCGAACAATTTCTCAATCTTCTTGGGGGGAGACCTGGACCTGGAGGTGCTAAGTAATGGGAGGGAAGAGAAGGACGAGGGGGAGACACTGCTGGGGAGGAGAAAGGAAGAGACCGACGGCAGATCCCAAACAATTGTCTGCATGTGGTGTGGGAGGTCTGGAGGTATTCGGAGAGGAATGTGGGGGGAGAGGATGACGGGGGAGCAGGAGGAGGAGTAGGAGGAGGAGGCGAAGGAGGAGGCGGAGAGAGCAGAAGGAAGGAGGAAAAGGAGGGGAGGAGACAAGATAACCGAGGGGTAATTGTGCTTGCACGCGGGTGAGTCCGAACACGCTTTGTCTAGGGTGGGATCCAGCAAATTTCGGAAGGGAACGGACTGGATGAAGAATGGGGATCAACCGGCATCGAATCAGTAACTCGGACCGAATCGAAAGGTGCATCGGATCGGGCTGCATCGGGAAAGAATCGAAATTGAATCGGATCGGCTGCGCTAGGACGCACAACGCCATGCAAACATCGGACCGTCGGAACATCATAATATAATCGGATCGGGCCGGCCGGAATCGCCGTCGAATCGGATCGAGTGGATCGACATGGACCCTGGTAGGGGGATGATTTCAGGGCGGTCGGAAGACTTACGGAGCCATCGGGGGCCTCAGGGGGTTCGGAGCAGAGAGGAGGGAGGGCGAAGGGAGGAAGGAGCATTGACAAAAAAGAAGAGAAGGGAGGGGGGAGGAGGAGGAGGAGAAGGAGGAGGAGGAGGAGGAGGAGGAGGAGGAGGAGGAGGAGGAGTCCGTAGACAATTCACGAGGCTGTCGACAGCCAGCTGTCGCACGCACTGGCCGCCTAGGAGATTGCACAGCCAGATGCTTCAAAAGAGACGCCCGAGGCCCTCTAGACTCAAGTCAAGCCCCAGGCATCTCGGCAGCAAGAGATGGAGGGGGAGGAGAAAGAGAAGGAGGGGTCTCGAGGGCAGCAGAAGTCTTCAGTGAGATCTAGGGAGTCCTAGGGGACTCCGGGGAGTTCTTGCGAGGAGGGCGGAAGAGGAGGTGAAAAAGGAGGAGGATGAGGGCTGGGGATGGGGACGAGATGACCGAGAGCTCGCAGACAATTGCACTAATCTGTACAATGTCAACCCTCGCTTGCATTAACCATGTATGAGGCCGCGCAGCCAAATGCGGTCCGAATCGGGCCGATGGATCCGGCTAAAGCCGGAGAGACAGCGAGAGAGACAGAAAGAGAGAGAGAGAGAGAGACCCAAATCTTCGGAGTCACGGTGAAGAAACGACGGTAATCTGTTTCGCCAATAGAAAATCAAAACATATGTGACGAGAGTCTGGCCCCAGAATGGAGTCCACAGCTCCAGGGCGCCACGCCAATGACACAAAACACGACGTCGGAGCCAGAGAGAGAGAGAAAGAGAGAGAACGAGAGAGAGAGAGAGAGAGAACAAACAAGGGGGGAAGAGAAGGAGAGATAGAACGAGAGTGAGAGAGAGAGAGAGAGAGAAAGCGAGAAAGAGAGAGAGAGAGAGAGAAAGCACATACACATATTATCATAACCTTCCGAGGGAGAGCTCGGAGGCAATTCGTGCGTCGGCAGACGCACCCCTCAAACAGATATCGACGTCAGGGTCTAACAACACAATGTATTTCCAACATGTTAGCGAATAAAAAGAAAGGAATATAAAAATTTCCAACATGTTAGCGTCGAACTTTTAAAACCAAATAGATGTTAACGGTTTTGCGGGTACTTGTGAGAACGCCATTGGTTGTTCAGTGGTTTCCTGTGCAAGTGTTCAACACATTATAAGAAACCTTTCAATCATTCGCACAATGAGGTTCATTCATGATTTTACATAGAAATGTAGTGCAACACTTGTACTCTTTGGCTCCCGGCGCAGATCGCCAACCTTGCTCCAATACCTGCCCCTTCATTCCCACATGGGTGCTTCGAAGTAGTTCGTCAAGTCGCACGCTGTGGCAACCCCACCGGTAGCCCCCAATGATTTCTGTATGGGCCTGGGCACGCACTTGCCACACATCTACGTCGTGGAACCATCGCGCGCGCTTCGCGCGCTTGCAGAGGGGACGCACAAAGATATACTAGTACTATACGTCCTCCTGGAAGGCGCGCGTCCGAACCGAACATATAGTATATCCATATTGTAGTATATTGTTTCCGGAGCGGTATGGCCAGAAAACGCCCGCCACGACGCATATACTATAAGATCTCTCGGTGCGCGCGTCGCCCCTGCGGGGGCGACACACAAATAGTATCAGCATGTTGGGGTGATGCCGATTAGAATCTCCGAAATCCCAGCTCGCAGTGAGATGTTGAGGGTTGGGCGACGGTTGCGGATAGGACGTCGGTCCGAAAACGCTACGGGCACACACACACAATAAACAACCCTTCCCTGAGCACGGAGGTCTCCATGAGGACGACGAGGAGGACGAGCCGGGCGGCTTGGATGTTGAGAAACGGAAGAGGAATCCAGGAGCACGACGGCGACGAAGACGAGAGCGAAACGGCAAGGAGGGACAGGAGCAGAAGGAGAAAAGGAGCCTCTGAAGACGAAGCGCAAAAAGGAGGAGAGAGAGGAGGGGCCACGGTGCACTTCGTCCGCGTGTGCACCTCCTGGTGATCGTTGGCCCATCCTGCAACCGTGCCTGGAATGTTCGTCAGATACCTCTTGGATGCCTGTTTGAAGTCTTTCGGGAAGCTGTTTGGGGGTTGCTTCGGGCATCTCTTGGGTCTCTTGGGGGCCTTTAGTGCCCTCGGGGGGGTTATAGGGGTCATGCCGGCGGCTTCCTGGAACAACAATGCGTTCCCCGGTAAGCTGGTTCATTCACTGGTGAACTGTTTCGCTCCCCGGTTGCACGTTCGGAGGATTCAGAAGCCAAAGGAGCTTCAAAACCTTCCTAAGACGCTCCTTGGCAGCATCTAAGGCGCTCCTTGGCAGCTTCTAATGCGCTCTTTGGCAGGAACCCTCAATAATTCCCCGGCATCTTTGGGCATCCTTGGTGGTCTCTACGAATCTCGAGGACTAGTTCAGATGCCGTCTTGGAGTCTTGGATGCTTTTTTACATAGTTTGTTTTTAGAGCGCATCTTCACTCGTCGTCGTGGTCATTCGTTGCGGTCGTCAACGCTGAGAGGAAGAAGAGCGTGGGATGAGGAGGGGGATCGATGAGGAGTAATTGGAGCGGACGACGGAAGAGATTTCTAGGCGTATCTTATGGGAATACCCGCTACGATTTATAGGCGTATCTCTTTCGTTGCATAAACCTTTCGTTTGGGTTTACGTTCCATGCACGTTTCGTTTGCGGTGTACGTACCACATGCG